AAATGACATTTGTCTTGTAAATATTTCATGTATATAACAGAACAATGTTTTGAAGAATGTTTTTCAATTTAAAAAAAATCAAGAAGTTGAAGTGTTTGGCTTTTTGTTATTTATTTCATAAAATATCAAACCTCAGTTCAAAGTGGGGGGGGGGCGATCGCCCCCACCGCCCCCCCTCTGGATCCGCCATTGTTTGAAGGATGTTACCGGTATATCTGATCTATATATATATATATATATATATATATCGGAACGAAGCTTTCTTTAATGCATGTTTCATTGAACTTATACGCCCACTCTGCTTTTAATAGCTTTTATTAAGATTCTCAACACTTTGTAGTTATTTTTACTTGTGTTTATTTAAAGTTTCCATAAGTTTATTAGCTGTCAGCGCTTGTTTCACTTTCCGAATGAATGATTTCTGAAAATATCTTTATGTGTGCATGTCCATCTGTCTGATTACTGGCCACAATAGTCTTTTTTCATCTTTATCAGTTTTCTGGCGGTTTTTTGTTGTTATTATTATTACGAAAACCTTTCAAATACATTGTTGATAAACGAAATTTTTAATCCGTCTCATGTCCGTAACACAATTAATTTCTGTTTCTCATCATTTACAAAACATTCAAGCAACAATTAACTAAAATCAGTTTTTTTTTATCATTGGAGGCCATTTATTGCTAGAGATACAAGAGTACATGTTATGTGCTATGATAAGTGCTACAAATGTCGAGAGGGTTCATGGCTAACAATGATGATGTTTTTCTTGCGTATTGATGATATGTAAATGTTTTAGTCCGTATACGTATATTTGTCCAATTTTGAATTATCTATGTTTTTATTTATACTACAGGAACTAAGCAACTGTTTGTTGATACTGTTGACAATAAATGGCTTCTTTTGAACTTTTTTTTCTACTAAGGTTTTCCACGGTCATGTTTTCATGGACAAAATAAAAAGTTATGTCAAAATTTCAATTCCACTTCAAACGAACAAAAAATCAACAAAGTAGAGACACAATATATATATATATATATATATATATATATATATATATATATATATATATATATATATAAGCAACATATATATAAATATATATATGTTGGTAATAGACCATAATTTTTACAATATTTTATAAATTCTACCGAATGTTTGGCGTTAATATGTTTGTAGTTCGTTTTTTCAAATTTTCTCACTAAAGTTTTTAAAATTCAAAATAAACTTATTTTCCGAATTCATGCTGCAAATAAGGCCATATTTCGATTTCGAATGAATCTTCATCAGTGCTTTCTGCTGTTTATATAGGGAAATATTGACTTTGTCAAAATGAAATTAGATGGAGACTGACTTTGTCAAAATGAACTTAGATGGAAATTAGGTGTCAGGTTTCTTTATTGGCTGGTCATCTTCTTTGGTTTCCTTTTCTTCATCGATAGCAACATATTCTTCTTTGTCACTATTTACAATGCTAGTTTTTATTACTTCTTTGTTTTCGTTGTTGGTTAAGCGCCGGGTTGGAAGTGAGGTTGTCATTTTT